CTGAGACATCAAGGAGAAGACGCCACCAAAGGACAGCTTTCATTAATATTAGTCAAATAGCCATGTTCAAATATTATCTCATAGTATACTCCTTCATGAAAGAAAAATGTTGCCGCCACCCCACCTTTTAACTTATTACATAAATATTATTTTACATATTAAAAGTATTTTTTGGACCCTGGCCCGTTTGGCTCAGCCTGTTGGAGTGTCACAGGTTTGATTCCCCAGTCAAGGGTGTGTGCCTGGGTTGCCAGTCGGGGTCATGTGGGAGGCAGTCAATCCACGAGTCTCTCTGATCTCCCCTCCCCTCCCCTCCCCTCCCCTCCCCTCCCCTCCCCTCCCCTCCCCTCTCCTTTCTCTCCTTCCCTTCTAGTCTATCTGAAAAATCAATGGAAAAATATCCTCAGGTGAGGATTAACCACAACAAAAAGTACTTTTTTTGTATGCTTTCATGAAAATATTTTACACTTTTTCAGTGATTTAACTTTAATAGACTGTCTTCTAAAACTTTTCTATTTTGAAATATATTTTTAACTTTAAAATATTTAGCTCTTAATGAAAAGATGAGCCACAAACTGGGAGAAAATTTTTGCAAGTCATGGATCTGATAAAGGACTTGTGTTGAGAATGTGTAAATAACCCTCAAAACTCTACTATAATAAGAAAATAAACAACCCAATTTGAAAAGTGGGCAAAACCTAAAAAAGAATGAAATCTTACCATTTGTGGCAGCATGGATGGACCTAGAGGTATTATGCTAAGTCAAATAAGTCAGAGAAAGACAAATATCACATGATTTCACTTATACATGGAATCTAAAGAACAATATAAATGAACAAACAAAACAGAAACAGACTCATAGATAAAGAACAAACTGATGGTTGCCAGAGGGAAGAGAATTTGGGGCTAAGGCAAAAATGGTGAAGGGATTAAGAAGTACAAATTGGGCCCTGGTAGGTTTGGCTCAGCGGTTAGAGCGTTGGCCTGCGGACCAAAGAGTCCCAGGTTTGATTCCAGCCAAGGGCATGTACCTCCGTTGCGATTTGTCCCTAACCCCCATTGGGGTCATGCAGGTGGCAGTCAGTCTATGTGTCTCTTTCACATCGATGTTTCTCTCTCTCTCTCTCTCTCTCTCTTCCTCCCCCCCCCCCCCACTCTGTCTGAAGATAAATGTAAAAATATCCTCAGGTGAGGATTAAAAAAAAAAAGAAGTACAGCCCGGCCAGTGTGTCTCAATGGTTGAGCGACGATCCATGCACCAAGAGGTAGCTGGTTCAATTCCCGGTCAGGGTACATGCCCAGGTTGTGGGTCAGATCCCCAGTGGGGGGCATGCAGGAGGTGGCCAATTGATGTTCTCTCTTCTCAATATTTCTATCTATCTCTCCTTCTCCCTTCCTCTCTCTCTCTCTCTAAAATCAATAAAGGAAAAAAAAAATTTTGTTTTAAAGTACAAATTGGTAGTTACAAAATAGTTGTGGGGATGTAGAGTACACCATAGGGAATATAGTAAAAAATATTGTATGGTGCCAGGTGGGTACTGGAAAATATCAGGGGAACACTTTGTAAAGTATATGACTGTCTAACCACTATACTTTACACCTGAAACTAATACAAAATAATAATAATTAAAAAAAAGATTTTAGCAGACACTTAAGAAGATACATGGATGGCAAATAGCCACATGAGAAAAAATAGTCATCATGAAGAGATAAAACCACAATGAATACTACTACACACCTATTAGAATATATAATAAAAAGAATTAACAGAATAAATTAAGGAAAGACATTGAAGAAGATACAAATAAATGGAAAGATATTTCATGCTCATGAATTGGAAGAATTAATATTGTTAAAATTTTCATACTATCAAAAGCAGTTTATAAATTCAATGCAATCTCCATCAAAATTCCCATGACATTTTTCACAGGAATGAGATAGACAATCCTAAAATTTGTATGGAAGCACAAAACACTCCAAATAGCCAAAGCAATCTGGAGAAAGAAGAACAAAGCTAGAGACATCATGCTCCCTGATTTTAAACTCTATTACAAAGCTATAATAATTAAAACAAGATGCTATTGGCATAAAAAAGAAACACAGATCAATGGAATAGAATAAAGAGCCCATAAATAAACCTACACATATGTAAGTTTACAACAAATGGGCCAAGAATATACAGTAGGGGAAAGGACAATCTCTAAGAAATGGTGTTGGACAGTCACATGCATGCTAAAGAATGAAACTGGACCACTATCTTTCTTAGACAATACACAAAAATCAACACAAAATAAACATAATACCTGAAACCATAAAACTCCTAGAAGAAAACATAGGCAGTAAATTTCTTAACATAGGTCTTGGTGATGATTTTTAAATCTGACACCAAAAGTAAAAGTAAAAATAAACAAGTGGGACTACATCAAACTAAAAAGCTTCTGCATAGCAAAGGAAACCATCAACAAAATGAAAAGGCAACCAACTGAATGGGAGAAAATACTTGCAAATCATATATCTGATAAGGGGTTAATATCTAAACTATATGAGGGACTCATACAACTCAAAACAAAAAACAATTTTGATTAAAAATGGACAGAAGATCTGGCCCTGGCCGGTTTGGCTCAGCGGTTGAAGCATCGGCCTGCGGACTAGAGTCCTGGGTTCGGTTCCCGCTAGGGGCACATACCAAAAAAAAAAAAAAAAAAAATGGACAGAAGATCTGAATAGACATTTTTGTAAATAAGACATATACATGGCCAACAGGTACATGAAAAGATGCTCAACATCATTAATCATCAGGAAAATGCAAATCAAAACAACAAGATATCACCTCGAACCTGTTAGAATGGCTGTTATAAAAAAGACAGGAAATAACAAGTGTTGGCAAGGATGTGGAGAAAAGGGGATCCTCAACATCATTAATCATCAGGAAAATGCAAATCAAAACAACAATAAGATATCACCTCGAACCTGTTAGAATGACTGTTATAAAAAAGACAGGAGCCCTGCTAAGGGCATGTACAACGGTTGCAGTTTGTCCCCAGCCCCGGTTGGGGTCATGTGGGTGGCAACCACTCAATGTGTCTCTCTCCCATCAATGTTTCTCTCTCTCCCTTCCTCCCTCTCTCCCTCCCGCTCTATCTGAAGATACATGCAAAAATGTCCTCGGGTGAGGATGAAAAAAAAAATCAGTCGAAGGACTCATAATCTGGAAAATCATTAAAGAAATTCAAAATATGCCATGAATTCTATAATGAGAAACAGAAGTGAAGAGGAATTCCATGTTGCTTCAGTAGAACATCATGGGTTACGTGAAGTTAGAGTGGCACGCTACCCTCCAGGAGTGAGACGAGATGCAAAGGAACAGAATAGAAAAAGCCTTATGCTAATGGTTGGTAAATAGTTTCCACTTCTGGATGTATCCTTTCAAAAATGTTTTCAATCCTCTTACCTTGGTTTCATCTGTTAAACTGAGGTAATAATATCTGTACTCCCTGTCTTAAATAATGTATGCAGTCAGATGAGTAGGACCATTGATTTGAAATCCGCCCATTGCTTCATTTACATAAGAAAGAAAAAATAAGTTAGTTGCTGTTTCTGCAGCAGAGGGAGGGAGGGAGGGAGGGAGGGAGAGAAACATCAATGTGAGAGAGACACATCAACTGACTGCCTCCCAAAGGACCCCAATCAGGGTGAAGGATGAACTGCAACCGAGGTACATGCTCTTGACTGGAATCGACCCATGACTCATTGGTCCATGGGCCAACGCTCTAATCACTGAGAAACCAGCCAGGGCTGCAGCAGATTTGTTTTGCTTTTGCTTCCTCTAGGTATTTCACAATAGACATGTAAGTATATTTAAAACATTGAAGATTGATGGCCATTCTTAACATTGTTTTTTAATGGGAACATTTCTGTTGTTTTTCTTCTGTAATTGATTTGAAAATTAAGGTAACTGCTAAGGGAACTTGTGAACATCCTTTTTTGATAATTAATCCTAGATGTCACTTTTAGAATACAGTTTTTAATTTTTAGCATGTTCTCTGCAAATAAAACATGGACCTTAGGTCACAATATGACGTACATTGAGCTGAACCTTTTTTAAAACCGGCAGTCATTGATGCAAGTGAGAATATTTATCAAACCGGAAAATGCGTAGTCAAGCACACTAGTACTTTACTCAAAAGCAAAGAAGTCTCTACATCGGTTACATATGGAAAGAAGGTGGTGGAGAGTTGGGGCTAATAAGTATTTGTATTCACCAACAGGTGTTTAATTATTTGCAAAGCTGTTTCATAGTGTTAAATTGGAAAAAAGCTGAAACATTATTAATTTATGCTCATCTATTTTTTTTCCAAATTTTTTTTCTTTATTGATTTTTTTTTTTTAGAGAAAGAAGAAGGGAAAGGGAGAGAGAGATAGAAACATTGATGAGCGAGAACATCAATTGGTCGCCTCCTGCATGCCCCCTACTGGGGATCAGGCCCACAACCTGGGCATGTGCCCCAACCGGGAATCAAACAGACGACCTCTTGGTGCATGGTTGATGCTCAACCACTGAGCCACACTGGCCAGGCTATGCTCATCTATTTAAAATACAACCTAACTAGGATCTGGTTCATAGCATCTCTTCTTTAAATTTTTATTAAGTTGATTGGGGTGACTTTGGTTAATAAAATTATAAAGGTTTCAAGCATACAATTCTATAATACACCATCTGTATATTGTATCGTGTGTTCACCAGATAAAGTCAGGTCTCCTTCTGTTACCATATGTTTGACTCCCTTTACCCATTTCTACCTCCCCCCACCCCCTTCTCCCTCTGGTAACCACCATATTGTTGCCTGTGTTGGTCCATAGCATCTCTTGATTTACCTATAGTACAACTCCATTTGAGAGAATATTGGAATAAAGTATAGCTCACAGTTCTCATTTGTTCTTAGCAGTCATGCTTTTGTGGTTGTTTCCAGGTTAATATTTTTACCTATGTTTCTCCATAGATTGAAAAATTGGGAAAACTTCTAGAGTCAAAAGAAGACCACTGTTCCAGACTCACTGAAGAAAATGACAAGTATCAAAGACATTTAGGAAACTTAACAAATAAGGTACAAATTTTCTTACAGAAATGTGTCCTTTAAAAACCATGCCAAATATTAATAGAAATTTGGAGCTAGAAAGGATCTGAGGACTAATACAATACATTTTATTGATTTCCTTTGGCTTTGTAAGGATGTTATAAAGCGTCCCCATTAGCCATTTAGCTGAACGTTAGCAAAAGAACCTCATGTGTATCTATCCTCCTGCTGTCGGCAACTTCAGGTCTTAATATCGCTACTTCCTTCTGAGGGTTTTATTTTATTTATTTTATTTTTGAAATCCTCACTCAAGGATTTTTTTTCCCATTTTTATCTTCAGATAGAGCAGGGGGAGGACAAGAAACATCAATGTGAAAGAGACACATCGATTGGTTGCCTCCCTCACAACCCCAATCAGGGCCAAGGACTGAACTCAACCAAGGTATGGGTCTCTGAACAGAATCAAACCCTCAACTGACACTCTACTGCTGAGCCAAACCAGCCAAGGCCCTGAGGGTAATTTTAAATCTTTCCAACCCAGTATTCTAGTTTGCTTTTTAGAAACTGCATTAACATATGAAAGCAGCCCAAGTGCCCATCAACAGAGGAGTAGATAAAAAAACTGTGGTACATATGTACAATGGAATATTATTCAGCCATAAAAAAAGAATGAAATATTACCCATTGCAACAGTATGGATGGGCCCAAAGGGTATTGTGCTAAGTGAAATAAGTCAGTCAGAGAAAGACAGATACCATAAAATTTGACTTATATGTGGAATTGAACGAACAATATAAATGATCACATAAAACAGAAACAGACTCATAGATACAGAGAACAAAATGATGGTTGCCAGAGAGGAAGAAGGGGTTTGGGAACTGGGTGAAAAGGATAACAGGATTGAAAAGTACAGATTGGTAGTTACAAAATATTGTGGATGTAAAGTACAGAATAGGGAATGTAGTCAATAATATCGTAGTAACCATGTATGGTGCCAGGTGAGCACTGGAATATGAGGGGGACACTTTGTAAAGTATATGATTGTCTAACCACTATGCTTTACACCTGAAATTAATACAAAATAATATTGAATGTTACAAAAAGTGAACTTTTCCTTTACATGATTCTATATTTCAAAATTTTGACAATATGGTCCAGCAACTCTACTCTTAGGCATATACCCAAGATAAATGAAAACACATGTCCACATAAAAACTGTACATAAATGTTTACAGCAGCAGTCTTCATAATAGCCAAAAAAGTGAAAATAATTCAAATGTCCTTCGACCGATGAATGAATGAATAGAATGTGGCATATCCATATGGTGGAATATTATTTGACAATGAAAGGAAAGGAAATATTGATATGTCCTACAACACAGATGATCTTTGAAAACGTCATGTAAAGTGAAAGAAGCCAGTCACATATTATATGATTCCATTTATGTGAAAAATCCAGAATGGGCAAATCTATGACCAAAAGTAGACTAGTAGTTGCCTAGGGCTGGGGGTATAGAGGGAGTGGAAAGTGACAGCTATGGGGTATGAGATCTTCTTTGTGGAGTAACGAGGATGTTTTAGAATTGATTGTGCTGGTGAATGCACATGTTTGTGAATACACGAAAAGCCACTGAACTGCACCTTTTAATGGGTCTACAGTGTGTTATGTGAGTTATATCTTAATACACCATTAATAAAAAGCTTTTTTAAAAAAACTGCATGAACTTTGAGCAAATGGAAGATATCCTTTGGTTGACACATACACCGCTTGTCTGGAAGACAGCTGGATCACAGTTGACTCCCTACAGCTGTCCATTTTTTGAAACTTCACATTCTGCATGATGAGCGCACACATTGTAATTCCATTTCTACTTCTGTTTTCAAACTATAAGGAAGATGTTTTGCCTATTGTAAAACTTTTATTGACCGGAGTCATATAATTGAACTTCAACTTGTAGAGATTTTAAAAAGCAAAAGAATTAAATAAAAATTCTAGAATTTATCAAAGAATAATGCACTTAGCTGATTTTTTCAAGGTTACATCCTATGAAGAAATCATTGAATGTGCTGACCAACGGCTCAAGATATCTCACTCCCAGATTGCACAGTAAGTTGAAAAAGCTTAATTTTCTAAACATTTGTTGATATTTTATTTTGCTCTCTGGCTTGCTAAATTTATTTTTCTCAGACTCTTAGAAGGAAGAAAAAGGTACAGTTTTATATATTAAGATCATTCTTCAATAATACAGTCAGCTGAATGTCTAGACTACTTGAATCACCAGGTTTTCCTCTTCCCTTCTCAGAGTTCCCTTTGACTTCAGGGAAGGGCGTGGGGGATTGAGGGAATTAGTGAGAAATATTCAAAAATTTTGGAGAATATTGCCATGGTATTCAAGTAAAATAACCTTGAAATGCTTAGTATTTGTTCACAAAAGGTTTTTGAATGTACACCAAATGAAACATACATACATATATCAAGTACCAAATAAACTTTCTCATTAGAATGATATTTAGCTTGAAACACTCCCAAATTGGTGTTTTTAAATTCTGCAAAGTTTTCCCACTTAGTAATTACCCTCATTTCTCATATGCTTCTTCCTCCATCTTCCTCCAATTTTATTTATACTGTACTATCTCTAGAACTTAAGCACCCTCACTTCCAAAATAGCCCCTTTCTATAGGGCTAACTCACCACAAGATAAATGAAAGACAGTGTAGGTATTTGTACTTTGGAAAGTTTGCTTTTGTTTTAAACTATTTTTTCTAAGCAGAATGAATGATAAAAACAATTTTATATATGCCCTGGCTGGTTTGGCTCAGCAGTTGGAGCTTCAGCCCGTGGACCAAAGGGTCTTGGGTTCAATTTCTGGTCAAGGACATGTACCTGGGTTGCAGGTTCAATCATAGGCCCCAGAGTTGTGCGGGAGGCAACAAATCAATGTGTCTCTCTCACATTGATGTTTCTCTCTCTCTCTCTCTTTCCCCCCCTCCCCCCTCCCTTCCCTCCCTCCCTTCCACTCTATCTAACAATCAACAGAGAGTAGTTTGTAAACACAGCTGAGCACAGGCCTCCTTGGCAAGGAAAGAAGCATGAATTAGTGACTTAGAAAGGAAACCTGAGAAGCACTGCTTACCTAATCAGAGCTGAGGGATTCCTGGCAGCAGAGTAAATAAAGCTCAGGGTCCACCCGCCAGAAAGTATCCTTGCCATGAAGAAAAGGACGTGATAACTTGTTCAACTTAATGAAATTCAAGTTACATGTAAATTCTGCCAGGTAATACAAGGTCCTGTGGAATGAGTGATGACAAACCCTTTCTATGCACTGCCCCTGGATGTGGCCAGCGTTTTACCAACGAGGATCATTTGGCTGTCCATAAACATAAACATGATATGGCACTGAAATTTGGTCCAGCACATAATGACAGTGTCATTGTGGCTGATCAGACCCCAACACCAACAAGATTCTTGGAAAACTGTGAAGAAGTGGGTTTGTTTAATGAGTTGGCAAGTCCATTTGAGAATGAATTCAAGAAAGCCTCAGAAGACGACATTAAAAAAAATGCCTCTAGATTTATCCCCTCTTGCAACACCCATCGTAAGAAGTAAAATTGAGGAACCATCTGTTGTAGAAACTACTCACCAAGATAGTCCTTTACCTCACCCAGAGTCTACTACCAGTGATGAAAAGGAAGTACCATTGGCATAAACTGCACAGCCAACATCAGCTATTGTTCGCCCAGCATCATTACAGGTTCCCAAAGTGCTGCTTACAAGTTCTGAGTCAAGTGTAATTATTCAGCAGGCAGTACCTTCACCAACCTCAAGTACTGTAATCACCCAGGCACCATCCTCCAACAGGCCAATCGTTCCTGTACCAGGTCCATTTCCTCCTCTGTTACATCTTCCCAATGGACAAACCATGCCTGTTGCTATTCCTGCATCAATTACAAGTTCCAGCTGCAGCCCCACTTGTTTGACCAGTCACCATGGTGCCTAGTGTTCCAGGAATTCCAGGTCCTTCTTCTCCTCAACCAGTACAGTCAGAAGCAAAAATGAGTGAAGGCACCTGCTGAGCAATGAAGTGGCACAGCTGAAACAGCTTCTTCTGGCTCATAAAGATTGTCCTGTAACCCGCCATGCAGAAATCTGGCTATCATACTGCTGATAAAGATGATAGTTCAGAAGACCTGTCAGTGCCAAGTAGTCCACATACTGAAGCTATACTGCATAGTTCTGTCAGCACATCCAATGGAGTCAGTTCACCTCCAAGGCAGAAGCTGTAGCCACTGCAGTCCTCACCCAGATGGCAGACCAGAGTACAGAGCCTGCACTTTCACAGGTCCTTATGGCTCCTTCCTCCCAGTCCCAGCCCTCAGGAAGTTGATTAGAAATCTGCAGTGCAGCAGTTTTAGATACTTAATGACTTCAAAGGGAAATCAAGGGAAGACCAGTTTCCATTTATGCGAAATCTGTGGTTGTAAATTTTTTTTTTACTTGAAATTAAATTTGGCTCTAAAGTTGGTGTAGCAGCAGTTGATGATCAGACTGAACAACAGGTTTTAGTCTCTGGAAAAAGACCGATTTTGCTTTTTTTTATAAATATTGTTAGATTTATTAATTTTTCTGCGCTCAATGTATAAATTGTATTATAATTCATCGTGATTTATTTCATTTTTAATTTGGTGGTGTTTAATAAATGGGGGTGTTACTGAATCTCTCTTCCCACTTTCATTTCTTTTGACCACCTCTTATCCCTCAACTGTGATGGTAATATTGTTATGTCATTTATACCAAAATTCTGCTTAAATCCCTATTGACTTTGTAATGTTAACAGTCATAAAACACTGGCAAGAGAAATAAATTTGCTTTTAACCTTTTTGCCTTTTATTTTGCACGTTATGCAAAAGGAAAAACATTAAAGAACACTTTTTAAGTGACTGAAAATATGGTAAAAGACATACAGTGCTTTTATGCACACTTTTAATCTTAAATCAAGATCATTAATAGTGCATTTTTCTTTTTAAAGATTTTAAGTAGACATGAATTTTGAAGTCCTTTATCATTTCAAAATGACTTTTTCAAGTCTTAAATTCAGTATTTTAAATCCTGTGTTTTGAGGCTAATAAAATATGAAATTATATAATATACAATACAGGGTTATCAGGTATCTAATAATTTAAAATAAAAAATCAATTTAAAAAATCCTCAGATGAGGAATAATAAAAAAAAATGTTTTTCTCAGTTTTCAAACTGATACAGATATGTTTTAAATTTGGTGAGGGAAGGGAATGTTGTCACACACTTAAGAGAAGTAAAATTGAGCCCCCCTTAGTTTAGAACCAAGAAAACATCCCATGGGTTCAAGAAATATAAAAATAAATAATAACCTAATATTTTTAAATCATTACTTTGGCTATATTGCTTTGCCCCAGTTATTTTTAAAATTCAAAAAAAAATTAATTATATTTTAGTTGAGTAGTTATTTGGTTTATGTTCAAGAAGAAACCTGGCAACTGAATTCTATAAACATTATTTAAACAGTTGTCACCTATTATTGCTTATTAGAATTGCCTTGAACACTTCTTTAAAAATATCCAATATCCAGGCTCTACTCCCAGATCAAATATGCTAAAACACGTGGTGGGAACTGGGTGTAGGTATATTCAGAAGCTACCCAAATGATTTTAATGTCTGAACAGGTCAAGAAACACTGCCGGGTATCACTTGAGTTGTATTGCTTTAAGTGATCAGGATTGTCATTTTAAAAAATAAAATATAGTCTGTTATATCTTCAAATAACAGTATCTTAATTCAACTATAGTGAATTATCTTTGATCTCCTTAAAGGTATATGCTACTTCAAAAATTAACAATTGGTGCTCATCTATTTCCTTCACCAAGTTAGGGGAGTTCTCCATCTTTATTGTTTTAAATAGGTTTTCAATTCCTTGTTTTCTCTCTTCTCCTTCTGGCACACCCATGATACAAATGTTAGTACACTGGAAGTCCCACTATCTTCATTTTTTTGGATTCTTTTTTTCTTTTTGCTGTCCTGATTGGGTGTTTTCTGGTTCCTTATCTTCCAAATCACTGGTTTGACCCTCTGCTTCATGTACTCCCCTGTTGATTTCCTACAATGAAGTCTTTATTTCTGACTGGTTTTTTTTTTATGTTTTCTATCTCCATTTTTATGTTTCCTATCTGTTGTTTGTATTGCTCATCCTTATCCAAGGATATTTTTTCATGATTTTTAAAAATTAATTTATTTTTGTTATAGATGTTTCTCCTTTTTTCCCCATTGACACCTCCTCCCTACTCCTGCCCACCCCCATTGATTTTTAGATAGAGTGGAAGGGAGAGAGGGAGAGAGAGAGAGAAACATCAATGTGAGAGAGACAAAAAAAGTAACTAGGGCCCTGGCTGGTTTGGCTCAGCAGTTATAGCATCGGCCCACAGACCAATGAGTTGTGGGTTCAATTCTGGTCAAGGGCACATACCTCGGATGTGGTTTGGTTCCCAGCCCTGGTCGGGGTTGTGTGAGAGGCAACCAGTAGATGTGTCCCTCTCACGTCAATGTTTCTCTCTCTCTCTCCTCTTCCCCTCTCTCTTTCACTCTGTCTGAACAAAAATGGAAAAATATCCTCGGGTAAAGATTTTTAAAAAGAGATTAACTAGGGACTTCCGGTCAAGATGGCAGCATAGGTAAACACAGTACTTGCCTCCTCCCACAACCACATCAAAATTACAACTAAACTACAAAACAACCATCATTCAGAATCACCTAACATCAAGCTGAATGGAAGTCCTACAACTACGAAATTAAAGAAGCAGCCACATAGAGACTGGTAGGAGGGGCAGAGGCACAGACAGGCTGGTCCCACACCCACGTGTGGCAGATAAAAATCAGGAGGACACCTCAGCTGGGAAGGTCCTCCCTGAAGAGGAAGGGGTCCCTGTTCCACACCAGGCTCCAAGCTCAGAGTTCCAGGAACTGAGGCTGAGAGCCACTGAGGCTTCTAGAGTCCCAGTCAGTTCCCCTTCAAGGACCCACACTCAGACTTACTCAGACTCACTCCTTCTGGGCTCCAGTGTTGAGGAGGCAGCTTGAAAGGCATCAGAG